ATTGAACAATGTTGGGGACAGCGTGCAACCTTGTGGGACCCCCTGCTCTATGTCGAAGAATTTAGACAGTTCTCCGTCTAGCATGACCGCGCTTTTCGTGCACTCTGTCATCTTCTTCAGCACTCTCCACATTTTCCCCTTGATCCCGTATTTGGACAGTTGTTTCCACAACCCATTTCTCCATACGGTGTCGTATGCCTTTTTCACGTCCAGGAAGAAGCAGTACGTCGGCTTTCCCGCCCTCTTTCTACCTTGGATGATTCTCCCTACCGTGAACACGTGGTCTACGCACCCCCTCTTCTTGCGGAAACCTGCCTGGCCCTCACTAATGCTATGTTCCTTCTCCAATACTCCCACTATCCTATCGTTCAGCAGCTTACAGAACACTTTTCCTACTGTGTTCAACAGTGTGATCCCCCTGTAGTTTCCTGGGTCAGTGTTGTCGCCTTTCTTAAACAGGTTCACATAGACATGATGAGTGAAGATAGCTACATACTGAAACCTCACAGGTGGATTGGTGTTTGAGTTTGCCAGACACATAGACGCTTTGAGTGGGGATATTTACACACTGAAACCTCACGAGTTGAATGATGTTGGATAGTGCCGGACACATAGACGCTTTGAGTGAGGAAAGACACATACCGGAACCTCACAGGTGATTTGTATTGGAGATTGCCGGACACCCAGACGCGTTGAGTAAAGATACCTGCATCCTGACACCTCAAAGATGGATTGGTTGTTGAGTTTGCCAGACACAGTCTAGACGCGCTGCGTGGGGATAGCTACATGCTGAAACCTCACGAGTTGAGTGATGTTGGATAGTGCCGGACACATAGACGCTTTGAGGGAGGAAAGACACATTCTGAAACCTCACAGGTGATTTGTATTGGAGATTGTCGGACNGATAGCTACATATAGCTCCTCGTTTTTTTATTTTTTATTCATCATGTGGCAGCTAATGTGCTCTCGCGAAAGCCAGCCCGATTAGGAGGGAGACTTGGTTCGTCGCCTGGGTTGCAAAACTCTGCCATGCCCTCTCGACAGCAAAAGCAGCGAGACCGCGTAGAGCGGGCCTAGTTACCTCACAAAACCTACACCGCATACAACACACCATTGATGGAGCCATTGCATCGCTAGGTTGGCGCGGTAAAGCAAAAAAAATAAAATATCCGAGCATCTTCTCTCTCTTGTTTTTAGTGTACCGAAGGGTGTATCGACCGACGTCCAGAATAAACGGCGAAAAAAAAAAAGTGTGTAGACGAAGAGAGATGGAACACTACCGGAACACAGCAGCACATAAACCAAACACAGCACTAATTTCTACCGAACCCGCTAACCCCTGGGCTCATCCCCCCCCCTCGCCCCCCCGCTCACCCGCAACACGGGGCCCCCGTTGAAACTAGTCGACGAGGACGACGCGCTGTCATCCAATCCCCTCCGGTTCTTGTTAAACAGCGTGGGAGCGGTGGGGGTGGTGCTCGATCCAGAAGACGACTGGGTCATCCCGCTGGCGTTCATCTGGCTGTGGCCGCTGCGGCTGGCCCCGTGCCCGGACGCGAGACCCGAGCTCTGTGATTGGTCGCCGTCAAGTCGGCACACGCACGCACACATAACAGTATGCATTGAACATCAACTCCACATGGAACCCTTTTATTCACGTGTTTCGTCCCGCTATCATTGGAAGACTGGCGTACTATTCAAGAAGCAACGCAGCAGGTCACGGGGGCGTCATCGCAAACCACACGCGCGGCCGTGTCACGAGGGAGAGGGGACAACGCGCGCGGGGGCGGGGGCGGGGCGTACATAGCCGCTGTGACGGGAAAACTGAAGCGAGATCGACACCGCTGTGTGGCACACAATGCCGCGACCGAGAAAAACTACACCGAACGCGTCTACTGCTTCACGCGAGCACGGTCTTATATACAGATACAAAGCCCACCACTCAACACCTCCCCAGGCAAGCCAAGGGTCTCCACTCTTCGCATTTTGACAACTTCGACCCCCACCCCACCCCACACACCGAAAAAGGTAGGTATGCACATTTTCCCTTACTTCGCCCCCATGGAGGAAAACCAAGCCTCTTTGGAGAGTTGTTTGTTCTCAGAATAACAGGCTCTGTTGAGGTAAGGCTGTGGCCGGTAATACTGCAACGTGCGCAGGACGAACTGGCAGATTCTCACCGCAGACCCGACCCAGCGCCGAACTGTCGCTCACGGTATGTACATGTTGGTATCTCATAGCCGGAACAATTACGCCGAACGAACATGCAAGCTCCACCAGCGTCTTGCTTACGCTCATCTGCTTGTTGTGGTACATACCGGAGAGATACTACACCGCAAAAAAAAAAAAAAAATGGATAGGCACGCCACAGGCGGCTCTCTCTCTCACCACGGACCCGGCGCTGAACTGCTGCTTGTTGTATCTGCTGTACCTCGGGAGCGAGCAAGAACCCGAAGCTCCCAAGTCGGACTGCGGGATTCCCGCGGACGCCGGCAGCGGCACCATCCCGTTCTGCGAGACGGACAGCCGGCATAAGGACCGTCTTCTCCGGCCTACCCAGTTCGGCGGCAAGATCTCGTCGTCGTCGACGGCAAGTTCGAGGCGGGAGCTTCCGCGCTTCACCCTGGGGCGAAACACACATTACGTACGTGTGGATGGGGGTTGATCTTAACAATTAGCACAAATAGCAACAGAGGTGAATATTACCGTGAACCGCAGGAGGGGGTCCAAACCCCCGCCCTCCTATGTGACCCCGGTTGGGTCGTCTAGCTGGTAGAAGTAGAGGATAGGGGGCCAGAGAGGCAGACGACAGAGTCCAATGATGGGGGGG